TATTCTGTTCAGGGTCACAGGGGTAAACCAGGAACCAATTCTATGTAGCACAGCACACAAGGCAGAGTGCATCCTGGACAGGACACCGTCCCTCACAGGCAACTTTCATGCACAAGGTTATAATCTTTAGGCCATTTACAGACACCAGTTCCCCTGAGGGCTTGTTTTGGACTGTGGGAGGAAACCACACAACACAGGGAGACAATTCAAACTCCAGCCACAAAGAGCAGATAACAGAGATTCTAATCACCAACCGTGGAGGTGAGAGGTGACAGTCTGACCCCATGAACCTCCATGTCACCCTTGGTTATTTCAGTGCAGTAATTTTGCTGTTGAACCTTCTCCACACAATCCTACGAAGCTGCTTCAGTTTCAGACCATAAATGAGAGGGTTCAGGACAGGAGGAACAATGAGGTACATTATAGAAAGGCTGTTTCTGAGAGCCTGCAGGGAGGTGTCTGAGCTGAAACGTGCTGAAACAACATCAAAAGAAACAGAAATGGCCAAGATGCCCAGTGTGATAAGATGAGGCAGGCAGGTCTCCATGAACTTATTACGCTCTGCCTGAGACTGAACACATTTCCTGATGATTAGGCCATAGGAGATGATTATTAGCATATCTTGAAATGTATGAAAAACCAAGATAAAGAAGGCATATAAATTGTTTAAGGTGGTATCTATACATGACAGCTTCACCACATCCCAGTCAAAACAATAAAGCTTATCAATTCTAGATCCACACAAGGGCAGCCTGACTATAAGCACAATGCCAACAATTGTTTCAATGAAAGTTAAGAACCATGTTATTTGCAGCAATGTTCCTACTCTTCGAGGCGTCATAATAGAGTGATACTCCAACGGTTTGCATATCGCAACATACCTGTCATAAGCCATTACTGTCAAATTAGTGAATTCACAAAAGAGATACATGTAGATTCCAAATATTTGAATTATACATGCAGTGTATGAGATCACATGAGAGTCTGACAGAAGGTCAATCAGTAGCTTTGGATAGAAACTTGTAGAACCACAAATGCTGTTTACACACAGATTACACAGGAAGATGAACATGGGCTCATGGAGAATTTTTTCCAGCAATATGGTCAAAATCAGTGTTAAATTCACAAAAATGGTGAAAATATAGGCAAGAAGGGAAAGACCAAAAAATATCTGTCTCTTTGTTTTAGTCTCATTCAATCCATGGAGCATAAAAACAAGCTCACTGGAAGAGTTCTCCATCTGCACTGACTTGACGTGGCGTTCACAGACACGGAGCTTCTTCTTAACTGAGCGTCTGGGTCTGGCTTGCAGGGTGAGCATGGCTAACAGACCTGCTCAGAAGAACCACAATGCTGTACAGTCAGGATACATTCTTTTGTCTCATCATATTAACTGCCTGTAGGATTAAGTCAGAAGGATCCTGTTCTGATTGTCTGATGCATTAACCTCTGCCAGATTACATCGTATTACCATGTCCTCCTCTGTATGGCTGTTTGATGCCTCTATCAGTTGAGCAGACCTGTAGGCCTTTATATGCTTCAAGATTCTGTTGTTTGCCTTCAATAATTACTACAGTAGGTTGCACAAGAATGACGTGACTTCTCAGTTAAACCCAGGAAAACATGACAATCACAGTCCTAATTAGCTCCACAGGGAAATTGCAGAGGTGTGATCATTCAGGAGATCTGAATGAGGCCTGAACTGCAACTTATTTGATTATCATGTACCAGGATCATTAACATATGCCCACATCAATGCCATGTTATTGTCAAATTTGTCATTTTCAAGGATGTTTCATTTTTTAAATAAGACTGGGTGACTGACACTAATCTAACTATTAGTGTATGGAATCATGATTCTGACAAAATTGTATTTATCCATCGTACATTAAACACTTGCAGCATATGCAAAATGCAGCAGCTCGAATTGTCACCAAGAAGAGGAGCAGGTTTCCTTGTCATTCCACATATAAATAAAGTTATAGTTGGCGGTAAAGCCTTCTGCTACAGGGCCCCTATATTGTGTAATGGCTTGCCAGCCTATGTTCAGGATGCTGTATCAGTGTCAGAGCTCTATTTTAGCAATCTAAATCAATGTGGATATTTTGAAGGCGCAAGGCACAAAGAGGTTGTCCTAACTCTCTTATTTATTCAGAGGTGTGATTTGGGTGTAACATGCACGGAATGGCACGTCACCTCATCACAAGCACATACCTGTGTCAATAACGATTGTTGTGCACCCACACGTTTCTAAAACACACCACTTAAATACCATTTAATAATGCACCATTGATTTTAGACGTGGTTTTTGTTGGTAAAAAGCGCAATGTTATTTTGCTGCCTGAAAATAGCAACATTCCGACAATGCGTCCGGTCACGCCTTTTTTAAAAGTGGAAAGCGGGTGCAAAATCATTTGCTATTTTGACAACCTGCACACATAGCTTGAAAATGAGCAGTGGGCTGGTATGAAACTAGTAAAACCACTTCGCATCACATTTTGCACTGGTGGAAAATAGAGGGTCCCACTCCAGGTTCTCTGGCCGGGCATCGTCAACGTCGACCCAGTCTGAGCTGGCTGTGGCCGGGCAGTCAGGTATCAGCTGGGCAATGACAGGAGAAGACAAGGTGGGCGTGTGGGTGATAACAGCAGACCATGAGGCGGGTACTTGGGTGACGACAGGAGAAGACAAGGCAGGCGCCTGGGCAACGAAAGGAGAAGATGAGGTGGGTGTCTGGGTGATGAGAGGAATAGATGTGGTAGGTACCAACAAGACCTCAGGAGACGATGAGCTGGGCACCGACTGGACAACAGGGCCCGGCAAGGTGAGCGGAGCTTAGCCAAGTGACCTGGAGGTGACAAGGTGGGTGCCAACGGGAGCTGAGGAGGGGGTGAGGTGGGCGAAGGCAGGACCTCAGGAGGTCACAAGGTGGGTGCCTGGGTGATAACAGGAGGTGAGGAGGTGGGCACTGACAGGACCTCAGTAGAAGACAAGGTGGATGCCTGGGTGATAACAGGAGGTGATGAGGTGGGCACTGACAGGACCTCAGTAGAAGACAAGGTGGATGCCTGGGTGATAACAGGAGGTGATGAGGTGGGCACTGNTTAACTCCCAGGAAATCTTGACAATCACAGTCCTAATGAGCTCTGCAGGGAATTTGCATAGATCTGGTAATTTATGAGAATGGCCTGAACCACACCTGATTTAATCATCAAGCACTCCGATCATTAATTTAGTCATTTAAAGTAATGCCACATTAATGTCAAATATGGACTTTTCAATGAGAATCCATTTTTTGGATAACAAGAGTGTCGGTATATTACTTCATCTAACCATTAGATTATGGAATCTTGTCTCTGACAATGTTTTATGTAACTTCTAAACTGAATGGCAATTTTAAAAGAACTGCATTATGCCAACATGCTAGAACAGAGAACAGGATAGGATTTAGTAGGTGTGTAACATATTTAATCAAACAAGAAAATCGTGAACAATAACAAGACCACACCATCAGTCCCCCATAGGGAACATAAAATATCTAGCCAATGATTTTCTAGCAAAAGCCCAACTATGCTAATGGCATTATAGGATGATGCAGACCGTCACGTGTAGGACTGATCTCCCCGGTGACCGACTTCCGCTTGCCTCTCGACTATTCTCCTAGATCGCCCTTTTGGATTTGTTTGCTCTCGGTTTATTGAATAAACCAGTTGGCTACTGCATTTCAGGGTCTGCCTCCTCCTTCCTCGCCTGGCATCACATATAACTAACCACAAAATAAAGCCAATACTAAAAATAGCTAAAAAAAAATAACTCAAAACATGGTCCCTCCACTGTTTTTGATACTAACACTCCCTGTCAAGAGCCCACAGATGATGACAGAAGCGGTTACCCTATTTGAGTACCAGCTGCAGGACCTCAGAACCTCATATAAAACTAGTTAAAAAGGTGGGAGAGATTGTTGCTTTATTTATTTTTTTAATGTTTAAATATATGAAGACATATGTACAGTATAGATATACAGTATTCTTTTGGTTTAAGAGGCTTAAGTGTTCGAAGTTACACAGTTTTGCTGATTGTTGGTAAATTATTGTTCCAATAAGTTGATTCAGTATTAAATGAAGTTGACTAAATAGGGTGTATGTCACTTTTTCAGAAAAGGGGGGTAGCAAAATTAATAATGAGTAATGTAACTAAATGCTTTTTATACCAAGTAATAGGTACAGTAATATTATTACTTTTTAATGGAGCAACAAGTAAAAAGTAACTAATTACACTTCCTGAGTAAGTTTCCCATCACTGATTGTCAAGCACTATGATCATTTACATTAATGCCACACTGACATAAATGCAGTACATTTCAAAGACATTTCATTTTTGAGTTATGACAGGGTCACAATATTCCATAATCTAACCATTGAGTTACTTAATTTCTGAATTAAACAACAATTTGTGCTAGTGCTAAAACCGATGACAAAATTACTGTCACGATTCGGCAAGAAGGCGAGCAGGGAAGCA